ATAGATATCCATAAAAAGAGTATGTTTATTGCTTCAAAAGTCATTTCAAATAGAATAGAAAAAACAACATTTAATTTTAAACTAAGTAAAGAAACAGCTGGGATTTTCATTACTCTTTGAACAAGCGGCATGCAGCCATCCATCCATCCATTGCCTACCTCTAGTAAATAGTGGAGGGGAAACACAAACCCGAAATGTTTCCCTTATGTGACCTATCCCTCGCAAATTCATCTTCCCATAACATCTACATACGATGATTCAAAACACAGATAAAAACATCCTCATTAATATCTTGTCATAAGGCAAAATTACCAGAGTTTTAAATATTATTCACACGTGATTCAGATGTTTGCGTAATCCACATCTTAAAATAATCCATCAAGTGTGACATAATTAAATTCACACACCGTAACCAATAACAGTGCGTTTTCACCGCCAACAATAATAAATCAAAACATATTTTTATCTGTTCTTTCAATAAGAAGAAATAAGGTGACTGTGTTTTTGTGTTGGCAGTGAAAATCAACGGTAAAGTTTCAAACGGGAAGTGTCTGTGAAAAACATTTTTTTATTACACTAAATTATTCAATCCATGCGTAAAATTCGCTTGATATTTCACAAAACAGAGACTTTAATAACTAGCTTTCGTCCGCGACTCCGTCCGCGTAGAATAACAAAAACAAAAAAGAGTTGTCTATGTTATTCCAGACTATATTCTGCATCTGTGCTAAGGTCCATCTAGATTCGTTTAGCAATTTAAGCTACAAACTCTAACATCCATTCACACCTTTGTATTTTTTATGTTAGTAAGATTAGTAACATACAATAAAATTCTACGATCATAGTTATGACTACTATCAAGTGTCTATTGTTATCCTGTCATAATAAATTATCCACCAGACTGTTTGTCTGTTTGTAATAAAATGAACAGCGATATCATTTGTTATTCGTCATCGCCGAGTCAGGGTTTATCTGTAATCAGGAAGCGTATATTATCTAATTAAATTCATGTTTACATTACCTTAATTAATCTCGAATTACGTCACTAAATATTATTTTTAAATGTTATAATACAAAATCTGTTTAAACTATTATTTCTCGCGAGATGTTTTGTCACAAATGAATATACAATGTACTTTCTTTTTCATATAAGGTAATTGGATTCGTCTTAGTGAAGCAATTGCTATCCATAGACATCCATAATTACATATGCGTTTGTAACCTTTCTTTTGCTGAATATTTATAGAAAAATATGTTTTTGAAAATGTATTGATAGTGAAAACCCGTTTCAACAACTAAAGGTTTTCTAAATGTAATGTTTGCCTTTTTATGTGTACCAAAAACAATAAATATTGGTATATTTGCCTGCGACTCTGTCTGCGTGGAATTAAATGATATCAAAGTAGCCTATGTGTCCTTTCAGACTATCCTCTACATTTATACCAAATTTCATCGAGATCCGTTCAGTAGTTTTTTTTTAATTTATTTATGGACAACTAACAGCTAACTTACAAAACATTATAAAACAAACAAAAACTGAAGGCTTATTACAACTTATCGTAAGGCTTATAGTTTAGGCTACAAACTCTAACAAACATCCATCCATCTAAACCTTCGCATTTATAATATTAGTGAGATTAGTAAGAGATATGTTTGATACATATCTCTTAGAAAAAGTACAGAAAGAAAATCTTAATAGTTTTATTATACTAAATTATAAGTTAAAACTAAAATAAGTAGAACGTGAAATAAATCAATTGCGTTTTCTTCGAAACGTTTATATGCATTCGTTTTTTAGAACGTCGACCCAAAAACGCTTTACAACAAAAGCAAAATGTCCTCATCGTGAAATTAATACAGCTTCGTATTTATTTAACACGGTCATTATTTGATATATAATTTGTTCACGTAAAGAAAAATAAAAGCTTTTAAAAATGTTTACTGAAATTACAAATCAACGAAATTAGTCAAGACGTTTATGTTGTGATTTTTGATTAGCTGTTTCTCGCGACTTCGCCCACATAGAATCAAAAAACGCCTATTACTCACTGATAACGTAGCTTGTTAATTGTGAAAGAATTTCTGAAATCGGTCCAGTAGTTTTTGAGTTATTTCAATACATACAAAAATACAAATCTTTGCAATTTATAATTTTAGGTATAGATTATAAAGAATGCATGTTATGGATATTTCTACTATTCAGTTTAACTACTTTACAATGTTTCTTTTAACTAAACTTAACAATAATATTATAACTAGCTTTCACCCGCGACATCGTGCGCGTGATATTAAAAAAAAACAAAAACTAAAGAGAGTAACCTATGTGTTCTTCCAGACTACCCTTTACATCTATACCGAAATTCATCATATTCCGTACAACAGTTTAGACTACAAACGCTAACAAACATCCATCCATCTAAACTTTCGCATTTATAATATTAGTATGATTACTATGATAGGTTTTGTGCATAATAAAATATTATCTCAGGACATTGAACATATTGCTTGCATGTTAGTCAAAATTGGCAAAAGCGTTGGCAAAGATTTGCTTGGCGCATCTCCATATAAAGATAGAAGCTATCTCGAGTTACAAATCTATTGCGTGGCTTTAAATCATATTTATCATTCAATAGAAATTACTATAATAATATTAAACTGTTTAATTCAAACGTTCGTCTCTTGTTTTATCGTTTAATAAGATAGTGATTGGACTATATGTTTTTATATTACTGGCTTTTGACCGCGACATCCGCGTGGAATTATAAAAAACAAAAGAGTAGCCTATGTGTTCTTCCAGACTATCCTCTACATCTATACCAAATTTCATCGAAATTCGTTTAGCCGTTAAAGCTACAAACTCTAACACATCCATCTATCTAAACTATCCCATTTATATATTAAACTTTGATTATGTATTCATGTTTTTACTATGAGTGTTGACTGCGTAAGGTGGAGGCATTAACAGTGTAATTGTTTGTGCAGATCGGAACACAATGTTGCCAACATGACCATATTAGTATAGATTAATAATGAATATCCGCAACTAAGCTTTAGATGTTATCACGCATCCTGTTTGAAACCTCACGTCGTTGCAGGAAGTGTCTAATTGTGTACCTTCCATACTACTTGTCAAGTCTTGGATAACGTTACTGAATATATTTATAGTCTGTCTTTTGTTTGAAATAAGTTATTGTAAGTTTGAAGATATTTTTTACGAGCATAGACTTTTTTGTATCAGGGGAAATCCTTGAAAGATACCCTGCCTTTATTGCCTACTGCTTTGTTTGTCGGAATCTCGTTGAAGGTGTAACTACTGTTATTTCAAGTAGTTCTTAGGTTATAAATATTGTAACGTAAAATAAAGTAAATAAAAATCTTTAGTGATTAAAAAAACTGAGAGTTTTATATAGGAATATTGAATTATACTATCATACTTTATCTTGACCTGTTTACCATCGTACGCCAGCGCCCGACTGTCTGTCTTTTGTGCAAGTTAGCGCAATCGATACAGAACAAACAAGATGTTTGTTTGATTTAAAATTGTTTATACAATACCAAGACAGCTCTATTGAACTATACTACTCATACAATGTCTTTGGCTTTTGAATTCTTGAAAACCAATAATATCAAATAGGGTTGGCGACAGACAGGCGGCTGGCCGCAAAAATAGTGCGGTATCTAAAAGTAGGTGTTTGGTGACATAAACCTGTTGCGTCGACCCTTCGGGAGTAGGATAAGGAGAAAGATGATGATGATGAACTCTTGAAAGTAATTACGGATATAATTGAACCCTTAGTTAAACTTAATAATTTTAAAATTTAAAGGCGAGATCTTTATCAGTTTCTTACGTAATAATTATAAATGAGAAAGTTTGGATGGATGGTCAAAAAGAATACATAGGCTAAATTTTAATTCCACGAGCACAGATTCGCGGGCGAAAGGTGTTTATATGCAAATTACTGTAACTAAACGAAGTACATAATTTGAAAGTATTAAAAGCGGAAGAGGAAATTATTACTATTATTAATATCTAACATAATAGATTTAATTAAGGACAGGATGAATAAACTTTCATTTGATAACTGCTAAAAATATTCCACGAATTTGAATAAATCTATTTATAAATAAAAGCCTTGAAAATGATCAAAACATTTTAATCTGCATATAAATCGCAGTCTGACCAAAATGAAAATGGAATCCCATTATAATAAATTATTCATAGTATTTTATTTGATTAATCAAAATACAGATGTACGAACATTAAAAAGATTTTTTTGACCGACTTCCCAAAAGAAGGAGGTACTCAATTCGTCTGTATGTTTTTTATGTGTGTTACGGCATAACACCGCCGCTAGTGGAACGATTTTGATAATTCTTTTTTATCAGAAAGATAGTGCTTGCAGGTGGGTCCCATTTTTGGAGTCAAAGACTACGACGTAGTTAAATAGTTTAGCTTAAAATCGCGCGACGTTTGGGGTCTTTTTTGCTTTCTTTGCTTATTAATAATTTGATTTGTATTTCAAGTGTATAAGTTATTTTAGTAGACAATAACAAATATACTATTTACCTTTCTACACTAGATTATCTACTAAACAATCTTACATTCGTCAAATGGCCATCTAATATTATAAATGTTATTGTTTCGTATAATAAATTTATGACCGTGTTTTCGTGATGGTGGACAATAAAATATCGTTCATGCGACATTGAGGTGCGTTAGGAAATTACGTAAGCGTTAGTTATTAAATAGTAAACAAAGTAACCTATTAAAAAAAAATGAAACCTCCGTTAACGTTACTTTGACAAAGAATTTCCTACTCGTAAACCCTGGAAAAGTATTCATTTAACAGCAAATACTGTACTTAATATTTAAAAAATATCTATTATCAAGAAGCTATCGATTGTAACTCTACAAATTTTTAATGATTCTTCTTCTTGAGCGAATTTTTAACAATAATTTTTAACAATTCTCAATCACTAACATATATATTTCTTTCCAGACAAGTTCTATCACACATAAAGAACATACCAGAACTAATACTGTTGGGCACAGAATCTCCAACAGTGAAGAGGCTACCAATATTCTCTCTAATGGTGAAACACCCGCGTGGAACATTTCTTCATCATAACTTTGTGTGTGCGATATTAAACGATGTCTTTGGTATCCAAGCTAGAGGAGGATTGACCAGTAATCTGAACTACGGCGCTGATGTACTGGGTATTGATGATCAGCTTTTAAAAGAATATGAGAAGTTATTGGATGTGGAGGCGTAAGTAAAATCCCTACAGCTCTTTATGTACTCACTTTTGAACAAACTTCGCACAACTGTTGTGCGATTGTCGATTGTTTCGCAGCAAATTCAACTGTTTCTTTGCACAACTAAAAACGAGTAGTGTGATATAAGCTCATAAGAATCAAAGAGTGACCAAACAGTTGTGCGATAGTTTAGTCAAAGGTGTCCGTGCTCTAAATGAGAGGATTGAATCATTGTCTATTTGGCTGTATACTCGTGTTTTAATTATTTACTACTAAAATAAAAAAAGTATTTGGCCCCGACATTTCGTAACTTTAATTTATGATCACTAACATATCGAAATAAAATTAATTATTATACTGCAATCAAATTTAACGAGAAATCAGTACAAGAGTTTTATAATTACTTGCGATTGAAAAATAAAAATAAAACATATTCATATCGATACCAAGTTAACCGGTTCTTGTTTCGTTTTTTATTAATTTACAAAATGTACTTCCTTAATCACTACATAAGAAATTTGTATCACAAATTACTTCTTAAAAAGGTTTACAACCTTTGTTAATTTAAATACCGATTGGATAAAAAAAAAACAATCTAAACCTAGTCTCAGAATTATAGACGAAATTTACAAAATTAAACACATCTTAACTATATTGAAGGTAAATGCTGGTGTAAAGTCAAAATCGAACAATATTTTAAGTACCACTATAAAGCACTTCATATACGAACTGAATTACGTAATTAAACGCGTTGTAAAACATATGAGTCCCACTTGTGCTATTGCCAGCATTTGAAGGTCGCTTATTAACGCTTAGTTTTTAACCAAAAGTTTACATAATTATCACGAGTAATTAGAAGTAATAACTTAATACTTTTAATGTAATTCTTATTAAATGACTTGGTGCAGAATGTGCCAACAAACTTATTATTTCTCATGTCTATAAGCGCGATCACACCTTTGACTATATCGCACAACTGTCTAGTCGCACTTTGATTCATATGAACTTATGGAGATGCGGACACTACTATTTAGTCGTGCTACAGTTGAATTGGCTGCAAAACAATTGACAATCGCACAACAGTTTTATGATAGTTTAGTCAAAGTTGTGCGTCCGTTCTTATAATATCACAATATCTTAAACTATGTTTAAAGTTTGAAAATCAATTTAAATTCTTTCATTGCAGTCAAAAAGAAGTAGCAAGAGTTCGCAAATTAAGTGATGCTAAAGCTCCTGATGTACCAATCCATAATGAACATCTAAGACCAGGGTTCTGCAGAGTATCACTACCCTACTTCATGTCAGACACAGAACTAGCATTTGTGCTAGAAGCTCTCAAAATGGTTGCCACAGAAGGATGGAAGATTCTACCCCAGTACGTGGTTAATACAGAAACAGGGCAATGGAGGCACCACACATGCTCTGTACTTCGAGACAGAAAATCCTTGTACTCTTTAAGGTACAATGATGGACAGATGACAGCTCATGAGAGAAGAGTCTCCGGTAAATATACCAATTTCTATGTCACATTCTAATTTAGCTACATCGTCTTGATATTCTTAAGCTTATCCTATTCCAGGTCCGGGAATATTTCCACAAACATACACCGAATGTCTACAGACAGCAAGAAATCTCTTCAACAGAGCGAGAAAACTGGCAATGAAATGCTCAACTATAGAACCTGAAGTCAGTTTTAATCCACGAATTGATTACTTACGTTGGTTTATGTTGCCTAAAGAAGCACACGATCTTCTTCTTGGTCGTTCTGCTAATGTTAAACACATAGTGCCATTCGATCCATCAGGTTACACGGGAGCAAGGAAGAGTTTAAATTTTTCCCGATCTTCTGTCACTTCCTCACCTATTTTCGGAGCATCTTCAAGACATTTCAGTCTGTCAGCTATAGATGACTGTCAAATATTCAGATTGAAACAAAAACAGAAATTCTACTCCCGAGAATCGAGTTTGAAGGAGACGACAAAGGAACAAGCCGTCACGGTAGCAAATCCCGTAAAATTCGCTTTAGGCGAATCCGTATCACCTTTACGAATCGTTCCACAATCAGCTAAACCTATGTTGGGAAGATCTAGATGCTACAGTTTAGGATCAGATAGCCCACCAGTACAATTGAGTGCGGAGACTAAAATGAATCTAGGCTTAAAAGAAACGAGCCCGAGCAGCGAACAGAAAACTAACGGGTTTTGTAACTGCGGTAGTCAAACAGACCTTCAGTCCTTAGATGACCCAATGATCTCACCTGGAAAAGCATATCCCTACAGTGCACAAAGTAGCACGTCGATATCTGACTGCAGTCAGACCGGTAGAATATCTCCTACTACGTCAATAACCTCCCACACATCCGAAGACATCCAGGCATACGTTAAAGAAATGACAAGAGAACTTGCAACGGAAATTAAATCAGAAATAAGGGGTGTTATCTCCAAAGTTGACGATATACTTGAAAATTCTGACTCACTCGATCAGTCGAATGTAAGCCTTAACTCAACGTCAAGTCAGAGCGAGAAGAATTCAGTATCTGTGATAGACGTTGCAGAATACCTCATGGGAATGTCAAGAGAAATGGCATCGGAGGTTAAACATGAGATTCGTGAGATGGTCAACCAAGTTGATGAGATGATTTCCCCTGAATACAGCTCGTGCACACGTCGAAGTTCTCCACCACAAACTGGTAGAAGAAGGATAGGATCAGGTCCTGAGCTGGGTTTGGATTTGAATAAATCCACCCAATGTTTAAGGAAGTGTACCACCAGTCCTGTTTTACCATGTCACGTGGATGAAGACGAAAGTTTTGTTAATTCGCCTAATTTACAATCACCTAAATCTGCTCAAGGTACACCTTCACATGAAGCTACTGGACCTAATAATATATCGTTTAACTCCAGTGAGACTTCGACTCCTGATACGATAATTCAAGTGGTGACTACGTCACAGAATTCTCCAGTCCTTCCTAAATCGTCTAGTTCTAATAAACTATCAGATGACGAGGTTTGCGCGGACGTCGCTTGCAGACATTGCTGCAGCAAGAAGATCTGCTGCCAGAATCCATCCGTCAGCTCACAGGATAGTGGCATCAACATGACCTTCACAGAAAGCGATGCTTATTTGGAATTTGGTAAGTCAACAATTAATAACTCGAATTAACTTTCCAAATTTGAATCTTGTGTTTTTTTCTGAGCTTGATGAATAGTAGTTTTACTTTTTTCGTTGTTATGAATAAGAAAAAAGTAAGTCTTCGCTAATTAATGCACACTCCTGTTTTTAAATTTTATTTAAAAATCGAATTTATCACATATACTTCACATGAAAAAATATTGTAATGCCTTTCATTTAAAACATTGTGCAATTTACAACAATAAATAATTCCAAGATGAACTTCTAACCTTATTATATTGCTCATATGTCAAATTGCATTAATAAAAGTGTTGTTACAATGATTTGGTGCACGAAGAGTATCACAATGGCGCCTACACTTCTAGTTACATCTCGCTTGTAGCCAGATTTAGCCGAGTTTTATTGTTGTTGTAAACTTCATGATTATATGTGCTCGTTAGAGTTAAACAAACATTACGGTCTGTTACAATTATATCTTAATAGATCTATGCGGATATTACATAAGTTCCTTCAATTAGAAATAATATTGTTATTTTTAACCTACCCACAATCTGAGGTATAACCGTGGCACGCCAGTATTGAATTGAAAAGAATACAAACAAAAATGCTTAATAGCCGGTTTCCCAGCTAAGTTTAATTCGTTAGTGTTTTTGGTTCGATAACCTTGTAAAATATGTTTCCGTACTACATAACTTGAGTTTTACTCCTTTGTTAGTCAATGTATCTCAACGTAACACTAATGAATCACTAGTTTATGATAAAATAAATGGTAACTTCAGAAACCCAGCTTAAATGAAGTATCTTTTATTTTCTATTCCAGTAAAATGGCGGACATCATCAGATCCTACGACAAATAAATTAAAGAAGTTGCAAGGAAGATTAAGAATATGCAAGCACGAGAAGAGCGAAGTGCCGGATATTATAGAAGGAGTTCCCGTGTGCTCCAACAATAGCAGAGCTGATAAGAGTGATTCAGCATCTGGTAGAGTCGCCTTCCAGATATCTGATGATGCTGAGACACAGAATGTGTGAGTATACTCATTCATTCGTTCTATATTTCGTTCATTCAATCTATACTAATAAATCTATATTTGTATTTTTGTATGTATTGATGTATTTCAAAAACTACTGGGCCGATTTCAAAAATTCATACACTATTAAAAAAGCTACATTATCAGTGAGTAATTTCTCGCGGACGAAGTCGCGAGCAACAGTTAGTACTTTATGACGTTCTGTGTAAAGTCAAAATTGGTAAAATTTCGAGTAAAAAGCGGTATGTTATTGAATGTTCCAGAACGTCATCGGATTGGAAGCGATCAAGCAGATGTTCTAATGCATCTTCTAGCTGTTCAGAGCGCAGTTCCAGGTCCAGTGGCTACGGAACTGACCAGCACAGGAC